TTTGGCTGTCCCATTACATGTCCATTTGTGACAAATCTGGAAGTGAGAGAGGACCAGCAATTGTGACACATTTTAAGGTTTTAATTAAGTACTTATGTTATTGTTGTTATTCTTCTCTTTATTGCTTTTATTGAATGTAAGCACGTAACAGGCACTGAAAATGTTTCTTGTAATATCTAATATTGGTCTCATTTAAAAAAATGTATTATTGCTGTTGCCCATGAAAAATTGTTAGCTCCCTACATCCTGGGACCTGGTGTACTTCTTATTGTGTTTCTGACAGTACTTAACATAGCAGTAGTATATACCTGTTGAACAGAATTGGGGTTATCATCTGCTAAAACAGCAGAGGCACGGTAACCCAAGGCAAGACAATGGAGAATCTGAAGGAAGTATACAGATTAAAACTAAGGAATGTTATACCTTGCATTGGGACAACATTGTTCTTCCACAGAGCAAAATGTCCTTATAACTTACAGGCCCAGGTATTTTGCTAAGAATGTTATAAATTTTCCAGAGGACTAGTCCATTGTATGACTATTCTCAATGTGTTTGTCCCTATTGATGGACATTTGAGTTGTTTCCAGATTTTGGCCATTATGAATCAACATAGTAGTAGTATGTTGGTCCCCAACCAGGTCTGGGGACCAATCTGCTATGGAACATTGCATACCCTCTTAGTGTTAATCTATTATTTGCATCTCCTCTGGAAAAATATCTAATATATTATTTGCATTTCCTCTGGAAAAAGTATGATTTCTGGGTCACATGGTGTTTAGTTGTATAAGAAATTGTCAAACTGCTTTCTAAAGTGGTTGTACCATTTTACATCTCCACCAACAATGTAGGAATGTTCTGGTTGCTCAGCATCCATGTCAGTATTCCAATTGTTGGTTTGGAAGTTCTGGGCTACATAAGCAGAAGACGATGTCCCATAATTAAAAGTCTATAAACTAAGTACACACACACACACACACACACACACACACACACACACAGCTTTTCTTTTTCTTTATTGATTTGAAAGTGAGAGAGAGAGAAACATTGATGAGAGAAGACATCGACTGGCCACCTCCTGTACACCCCCACTAGGGATTTGGCCCACAACCTGGGCATGTGCCCTGACCAGGAATCGAACTGGCGACTTCTTGGTGCATGGGTCGATGCTAACCACTGAGCAACACTGGCCAGACACATACATATATCTTTAAAAGTTTTACTTGGTCAGAACCCCAAATATATGTATTATTAACACATGGATAATATCATACCATACAGAAGTTGAACTCCAAGTTTGTTAGTCACAAATGCTATCATGGGTGTTTCTTTAATAAATATATTTTTTAGTATCACTCTTCTCATTGTTTGTCCTCCTTTATCAATGATCAGCACCAATGCTGACTCAGGCACTGAACACATATTTTAAAGGAAAGGATCTTATTCGTCATCATTTTCAGTACCCTGCCCCAGCATGTCCTTGCAGGGCGGAACGGCCATAGTCAGGAAGAGGTGGAGGGAAAGAAAAAGAAAGTGGATAACAAAGATAGATGGAAAACCGAGCATGATCTGATCCTGCTGAAAATTTCACTCTGTGCAAGAAAATGGAAGGAGCCCGCAGATACCGACTACACCTCACGGCCATACAGAAGGGGCAGAAACCATGACAAGTAGCCAAAGCAGAAAAGTTAGTGCAAAAATTAGTGTATTTTATTTGTGTCCCTGCCTCCCCCAGCCCCACTCCCTTTCTTTATGAAATACATTTATTCCTCTTTAGAGGGATATCTTTGAGCCATTTGTCCCAGGAGCTCCTTTTTGCGGTTTCATCGTAAACTTACAAAGAACATCAACCTAAGGGAAGATATGTCTCAGCACCAGGTCCAATTTTATCTTATATGTTAATGATACATGTGAACATGTAGTCTTGCGTCACAAGCCTCGGAATGTAACTGGGGAGTCCTCTTTTATGTTCTTTTTTTTATCCTCACCCGAGGACATTTTTCCATATTTTGTCCAGATAGAGTGGGAGGGAGAGAGAGAGAGAAACATCGACGTGAAAGGGACACATCGAGTGGTTACCACCTGCACGACCCAACCAGGGCCGGGGACAAACTACAACCGAGGTACGTGCCCTTAGCAGGAACTGAACCAGGGTCTCTCTGGACGCAGGCCGATGCTCTAACCGCTGAGCCAAACCTGCCAGGGCCTCTTTTATGTTCTTCAGTGGGGCACTGCTCCGGGCGGAAGCGCTTGGCCACACGCGCCCTGCACTGTGGAGCAGGTACTAGATTTAGAAAGATTTTTCGTATTGATCTTATATATTTGTTAGGGTTAGTCCTTAATATTTTATTTCTTTTATTCCCCAAATTTATATACATTTAACACAGTCTCAAAAAATACATCAATACACTTTTGGTGTGTGTGGGGCGGGTGGGGAGGAGGGAGAGCCAGACAAGCTGATACTAAAGTTTATATGAAAAAATTAATAAACAACAATAGAAAAATTCTCTGTGTGTATGGTTCAGCCCCAAAGGGCAAACCGATTTACTGGGGCCATAGCAAATGGACTTGGCCACAGCTCCAGCTTATCTTTCTCCTTGCTAGCGTGGGAGCCGGGGAGCCCTTCGCCGCGGTCATGAGCCATCTGCCGGGCGATGGCCTCGATGCTCGGGAGGCAGCCTCACCGGCTCCCGTGCCGAGCAGCGCGGAGCAGACACCTCTGCAGCCCGCTGCCTCGCTGTTCCAGCTTGTCCAGTGCGGACGGAGTCCTCCCAGGGCCACTGCTGATGCCGCGGGCACTAGGACATGCAGGGGGTTCTTGCGGGGGAGCAGGTGGGTGCTCTCCAAGGCATGCTTGATGACGCGCAGGGCCAGGAGCTTCTTGCCATCGTAGAGGCCCTGCCTCATCACGGAGTCGGCGAGGTGCTCCACGGTGGGGCGCCGCGCCGCGCGGAAGCGCTTGGCCACACGCGCCCTGCACGGTGGCAGGTGATGGGCATACTTCCCCTGCACCGCACTGTCATCTCCTGCCAGAAAACATCATTGATCTGCACATCACCGGTGTTCCACGTTCCAAAGAGCTAGATGTCGCGGGTTTCTGCTACTGCAGGTGCAGTGTCTCCCACTCGGTCACCCGAGCACAGTCGCGGCTTCTCCATCCCTCTGCGTGGACCATGCGCAGCCCCGGCACAGACAGAAAGAATATAAAGAAAAGTTTGTAGAAGGAAGAATGATGAGGGAGAATTGTTCTATTGGAAATGAAAATGTATTAGGAAGCTACAGCGAATAGTGTTGAGCTGGTTCTTGAGTAGACACGTGAAAAGAATACCAAGTCTGTAAACAGACCCACAGAAACATGGGGATTTAATATTACGTAAAGATAGCATTTCAAATCAGTGAAGAAAAGACAAATTATTCAGTCAGTGGTGTTGGAACAAATGGGTAGCAGACTGAAAAAAAGAAAGCAGTTATTAGCATGCTTTTGTTGCTACTGACTACTTGAGACTATATTGCAAAGAAAAGACCGCTGGTTCTCAAACAGGAGTAAAAAGGGAAAAATCTGAACAAACATCCCAGGACCTGCCAGACTGAAGATGTAACTAACTCCTGCCTCTCAGTAGTAAAATATAAAACTGAGATGGCCTTTGAGTGATTAAGGCCAATTACAAGTAAGCCTCATGCAAGCTGGACAAACTTGCCCGGAGGAAAGAGACCAAAGCTGTGGCCTTCTCGCCAAAGCCTGATACACTCAAGGTACCTGCCTGGGAAAGTGGCCACATAGCTATCAGCCCATAGAGTTAACTGGGCCAAAACAGACAAAAAGCCAACGGTGTTTTTAAGACAATGGCACTATGAAGAGAGCCACGAGTACTAAAATGAATTTTCGCTTCTTTGTCTAAAGCTAGCTTGTTCAATACATCATCTGTCATCTGAGTGCTCGCAAATGTTTCACTGCATTATGTAGATTGCCTCCCTTCGAGCCCCCTTGCTGTCTGTTGGCCAGACCAGAAGCAAATGCCACATAATTTCAAATGTCACTTAGAGAAGCTTTTGCCCACTCTTGGTCGAAATTTCTGTTTTAGTCAATTTAAGCTAAGTTACATGGTAGTGACAATTTCAGAATTTCAATTGCTTAAAACAAAAAAGTTTACGTTTTGCACATATAAACAATGCACGGTTTTAAACAGATACATCCAGCACACCTATTGGTGGACTCCTACATGGCCTCCCATCTTCACATATTACAAATAATTCTGTATTGGATATATTTGTATAGATGTCATTTTGTACATGGACAACTATGTCTATAGAAAATACAATTGCAGGGTCAAAGGATAATTACATGTTAACATTTGATAGAGACATATTGACTAGCTATATATGAGAATGTTTCTCTCCCCTGTAACAATATTATCAACCCCTTTAACCCCTGCTCACCTGAGAGGTAAAAAAAATAATACTTCATCAATTATTTTTCATTTTTCAAGCTATGCTAGACATTTCCTTGCTTTGTATAGCTTTTAGAACGATTTTACCCTGTTTTGTTTGTTTGTTTGTTTGTTTATTCATCTCCCTAGTCCATACATCTCTTTAGTTGTGTTAAAGATGATAACTAGAGAGGACTAGCTTTATTTAACACTTCATGACGCAGATGGTCTCTGTTTGGAGAACTGCAAAACGGGGCAGAAGACAAGAAGCCTTTATAAGATAAAGAATAAAGAACAAGGAAGAGAAAAATACAATCTATCTGATATGGCTGGGGCTACATGGTCGACCTGGTTTGGGGTGAGAAGGAACAAGGAAATAAGCATAGAGCCAGCGTGGGCTTGGTGTTTGGGAACTGGAGGACTGGACACACTGCATTTCTGGTCAAGTGGAGCATTTACAGGACATAAAGTTATCTAAAAAGTTTTGGTTTGCCGACATGGCACTCAAGGTAGAGCAGCTCCATCTTAAGCCAAGAAAGTTATTTCAACGCCTTGTGTCTTTTTCTTATTGGTTTATAGGAACTATTTACACATTGAAGAAAAGAACCATTAATAATATGAATTGAAAAATGTTTTCCAGGTAATTATTTATATTTGGATGCCGTTCCTTGTTTTTTTGTTTTGTGTTTGTTTGTTTGTTTTGTTTTTACTGTGAAATGTTTTTTTATTTATTTATTTTATTTTTTTTATCCTCACCCGAGGATATTTTTCCATTTTTTGTACAGATAGAGTGGGAGGGAGAGAGAGGAAGGGAGAGAGAGAGAGAAACATCGACGCGAAGGGACACATCGAGTGGCTGCCACCTGCACGACCAACCAGGGCCGGGGACAAACTGCAACCGAGGCACGCGCCCCCAGCGGGAACCGAACCCCGGTCTCTCAGGACCGCAGGCCGACGCTCTAACCGCTGAGCCAAACCGGTTGGGGCTTTACTGTGAAATGTTTTTTTTTCCCATTTTTTATGTAATCAAATATCTTTTAAAATCTTGACCAGTTTTTTTCTTTTTGTGATGTCTGGGTTAGATCTTACTTTACACAGGCTTCGTTATTAAATCAACAAATTATTCAAGGAGTGCAACAGCAACAAGCCCCTTGCTTTCTAGTATCTTTATAGTTTTATATATTTTATTTTAAATATTTTCTTTCAGATGAAATTAATATTGGTGTCAGGTGTGAGAGAGGGGTGCATAGTCGTGTAGTTCCTAACTGGTAATGGTGGGTGCCTTTGTAAATGATGATTTGTTTGTTGGCAATCAAACAAGAGTAGCAGGAGATTCATTTTTCAATAAATATATTTTTGTAATTTTGAGTTTTGTATCCTGTTCATGTGAAATCTACCCCAAATTCATTGAAATAAGTAAATTTGGGGCTGTTATGAAGCGAGGCAGCCTCTCCTTTCAGACTCAGCTCTAGTTAAATATCACCCAGCCAGAATATGGAAACTGTGTTGTCAGATTGTCCCCTACTTCAAAAGAAGCCGAAATCTGGATTTTCATGTGAAATCCCCTGATGTTTAAATGTTAGCAACTAATTCAGAGTTTTAAAAACACTGCACGGGCCAAGAAAAACACATCTGCATGCCAGATGGGGCACACGGGGTACCAGTGAAAGACCTGTGGTTTAGACATCTCTTCCTCTCATCCTCAAAGATTCATTTATGTGCCTTTTCTATGGGCTGCTACACTATAATGTGGTCATCTCTTATCACAATGTATTTGAACTTACTGTTGGTGGCCTAGTCTTTCTATTAAGTTATAAGATCCTAGAAGATATTATTTATAGAGTTTCGAGGTCTCCAGGGCCCAGCAGTGTCTTGCACCTAGTAGCCATTTAATCTGAACGTTTGTTGAATGAATAAATAAATGAATAGATGAGTTCCATTGAAAGTCGAATCCCTGCCACACACATGGACAAAGTAGCTCAGGGTCTCAGAGGTTACCTGGTTTAGACCACTCCCCCTCCCTGGCCTCTTCCACATTGTGAATCTTGGCCACTAGATGTCTCCCTTTGCTTAAGGGACATTCCAAAGCTCTGGGGTTCATCTGCGGTTTGCTAAAAAGAATACTTAAGTAAGAAGAATGTCTTAATCTCAGGCCACATCTTCTTCAGATGTTTGTCCTCACGAGGAAGTCGAGTACAGCCACAATGTCAAACAAAAAGTGTCCAGGGACAGAATGAGATTTATTTTGTTCTGGGAGAGTTTCTCATCCACAGGAATGCACTGTGGGGCCCTGAGTGACAGAGTCTGTAGATTTTACCCTCTAATCCAGTTGACCCATGACTGTTCCCCCAAAACCTGTTTGGGTTACTTTTCTCTCCTGCTCTAGGCCAACTGTGGGGAAATGCGTGTCGCTGTGAAGGGTCTGGGGCTCTAGAACCTGTGCAGTAAAAGCAGGGTTCTTGTGCGGTGCATCAGACTGAACATCTCTGCCGAGGCTGCGCAGACCCCGTGTGAGTTCTGTGCATCGTGCGAATGTGGGAGATGTGTTCAGTTGCCTGTGGTTGTGATTTTCATGCCATCCCAGGAGAATCTGCTGACCTTGGAGAGATGTACTATGTGGTGCTGTGTAATTCTCATTTTAAAGACAGGCAGAATTGCACGGCCTGTGTGGCTCAGTGGATTGAGTGTTGTCCCATGGGCTCAGAGGTCCAGGTTCCATTCCTGGTCAGGGCATATGCCCGGGTTGCAGGCTCAATCCCAAGTAGGGGGCATGCCGAGGCAGCCAATCGATTGTTTTCTCTCATAATGATGTTTCTCTCTATATATATTATATATTATTATATATATGAAAAACAAAACATATTTTAAAAAAAGACAGGCAGAATTTTTTTAAAAAGCTCATTATTTTTGTAGTCCATCACTTTCTCTTCTTTGTATTATCTCAGACATTGAAATACTGTACATTCTGAACTGATTCAAGGCAATGAATGGAATCCTGCCTGGCTCTGTTAAATTGACCCAGGACCTTGAATTTAGTGACATTTGAACTTGTGAAAGGAAATGAAAATGTGGATTTTGTAGGGTTCTGGTGGCTCTCCAAATTATTATGAAAGGTTCTGAAGATAAGAGTGCTATGTCTCGTTAGTACCTGAGACGCAGCCTTGCCTTTTCTTTGGTTATTTTGCAAGGGTTGGATATTTCTGTTTGTATTTCTCATCTGTCTTTGAGAAGCAATGGGCAACAGGTCAAGAACACAGACTCTGAAGTCAGGCTGTGTTTGTGCCCTGGCCCATCATTTACTTCCCTGCCCGGTACCTCGATTTCCCCATTTATAACATGGGGGTGATAGTAACTGTCTCACTGGTTGCTAGGCATGTGAAAGCACATGAAAACAGCTCAGAACAGTGCTTGGAACATAGTAAGTGTTCAGTAAATGGGAGCTGATACTAAGTGCTGGGTGGTTTCTCTCCTTCTAATTCGTTGTGCAGGCCAACTCTCAGGTTTATGCATTGTTACCCTTGTCTCTGATATGGACAAGGGAAGATGTCCTACAGTTTTCTGAGCTCTCCCTTTGTTCATTTGGATGTCCTTTATTTTAATCCTAAATAGCAATTCAATTATTTTGCAATGTTAGCGCCCCTCACCCCACCGCCCTCCCCAAAAGAGTTTCTGTTCTACTGACCAAGCTTTGTCCTCAGATAGTCTAATAATTCCCATCCACTTCTTTCAGTCCTAGTTCTGAATGTTAAGAGACTGCATCCGTTTTAAATCTTGTCATATTAATTATGAAAACCTTCTCACTATAATTTATGTTTTATACTCAATTCTTCCCCTCTTTACCCCTCCTTTCAGGTTTCCTAACAGTTTTACCCAAAGCGTTTTTCACTGCGTTTACCCATTTGACCATCACGCAATAGAGCCACCTGAAAGAGTTCAGGGCCGACCGCATCCAAGGCGGCCATCTGCGTCTGCAGCTGCTGGAACAGAGCTTCGTGAAGCCCAAGCTCAAAGAATGTCCAGCACTTCTGAGGAGAGACACTGTCACCCAGGGGCCATCTGCTCTGGTGGGTTCGTGTCCTCCCTAGGTCCACCTCCTGATCTGTCTAATTCAGGTATGGCCTCACGACCCAGTAGTCTCTTGGGAAACTTGGTTGATGAGAAGAATCAGAAAACGAGTTCTGGTAACATTTATGTTGCCTTTTCCTTCCTCCTGGGCCTCAGGTTTGTTGCTGTTTCCTCCAGTGACTCTGCTCTTTTGCTGGGAAATCAAGCCGTCAGACCATCCAGGCATCCAACACGAGCAGATGAAGTTGGAAGGCTTGAAGCTCTTCTTCAGCCCCAAGTCTTCCTTCTTGATCGTCTGTAGCATCAGTTGGATGCTGAGCCTGGCCTCGCCAAGGAAGGTCTGGGGTCAAGAGCACCAGAGAGGAAGATGGACCAGGTGGACCAAAACACATTGGTTTAGCTGCCTTCACGTGCTCAGGTGAGCCTCACGCTCCTGCTTCACAGGTTAGAGTGTGTAAGGTTTTCAGGCAGAAGGAGCTTTACAGTCGCACTAGAGGAGCAATGCTTCGTCAGCTCTGCCTTTGCCGAGGGTGAGCTCTTCCTGGGCTCCTTACAATGATATGTCACAGTCCTGCCACGGTGCTCAAACCCACACTGCTTTCCTTTGTCCTCTGTCCTCTGCAGGAACTTGGGAGCCCCCAAACCTAACCAGGAAGTATTAAGAAATTCAGCATCACATGCATTAAGAGATTATTAGGAGGAAACTAGAAGGGGTGAGTAAGCAGCTTATTGGTGAGTCACCAGTTATTGAAAAGCACACCCTGTTTGTGAAACAACCTAAATATTGGGCGTACTATGATCTCCTTCTACTAAATATGGAATTAACAAACTATGAAATGCATCCATTTGTTTAGATTTAGATGGTCACCCCCAACCAGTGTACTCATGAAATCATTGCTGTTTACTGGTTGCATTATTTTCTAGTATCTACTAAAATGATTTTGGACTAATAAGAAACTGTAGGGATCCCTTTTGTTCCGAGGGCCGGTTCCTAGCACACTGCTGGGCTTCACAACACAAAGAGCTGGAGGCGAGAACCAGAGCTCCCGTCCGGGTTTCAAGCCCTTCCCACCTTAAGCTCCACACTGATCAACCATTTTGCCCCAGTACTGCCTTACTCCTCTCCTGGCCCCCCATCCAGCTCCACAGACACTTCTCCCCTCTAAGCAACTAGTCAATTATTAGTCACATTCTGTGAACACATTCCCACTAAGGTGTCAGTGACTTCTGCGCTCTTACATGAACCTGCATTTTAATAGAGACAATAGGAGAAGGGCCACGCTGAACTGAAAAGAAGCCCTTGACCCTGTGTATTGGATGGGCATTTGGTCTCCAGTCACAATAGGTGGATCCCGAAAACAGGCAAGACCCAGCGGAAAAGGCATGAGGAGAATGGGATTCACTTGACGGAACTGTGAGATCAACTCTATTCTGCCCAGGCTGGGTGATGAACAAAGCAGCAATGGTCGATGCCCGTGAACAGTTAGGGGTTGTCGAGGAGGCTTTGTTCTCTTGAAAACTTTCCACTGGACCAGGTCCGGACTGTATCGTGAAGAGTTGTGATATGGACCACGTGTTGGAAACAAGAGGGTCACATTGTGTTTAAGGCGGCTTGGCACTAAGGGCCTTCAACATGACATCATGGGCTCCCATCATATTAGCAGTTCACGCTAAGGAAGGTGCTTCTATTAGAATCTTGTGTCCCAAGGACCTTTTCTCTTTCCCGAGGAGATAGATGCTCCTTCTTTTCTGATAAGAACAATGTACCTGATCAGCTTCCTCTTTTCTTTGATTGCCAGGAAGCACCTGAGTTAAACTTCAAACTTAGACAACAGGGCAGATAACTCGTAGGTGTGTATTTGCATTCCTTTTCTTAACTGGCTCTCTGCTTTTATAGTTTCCCTTTTATAATGTGTTACTTATTTTATGTAGAACATTTATTGTTTGTGTTTCTTTATTTCTATTCTAATGTAATTTTATTTTATGCATTAGCATGTAAGCCACCTCAAGTTACTTGTAAAATATGGAGTGTTAACTTCCAAATTGGATGACTCTTTAGAAAGAAAGACACCTTTATTAAAGGAGTCAATAAGGTTTAACTAGAGGTTTTCTAAGGACAAAGAATATACTGAAAACATTCACCCCGGGCAGACGGGCACACTACTCTTCTCTTTTGCCAGCCTCCATCCCATGTTATCCCACCAGGAAGTCCGAGGTTCCTTTAGCTGGGAGAGTAGCAAGTTGATTTTTCAGCCTTGAAAGAGAAATTCGGAAAGGAAAAAATAACACTGACCGCTACCCTCACCCCACTGGAATTACCCACCTCTCCTCTTTGGAACCAGGGACTCGGGGCTGCATTCCTTTTGTTTTATGGGGTATGACCCTGGGCATCCAGAGGCTGGACACGAAAGCCCAACAGAGTGGCATTCTGTAGAGAACTGATCCAGGACAGAAGCGTCCTCATTCTCCTAGAGCGTTCTCCTTCCGTGGTTTCAGAAACGCGTCGCTGTCCGCTGGGAGAATCATCAAATCTTGGGCTCTGAGCCGCTTCCTCTTCCCAGGCTGGGCTGATGTTGACTCAAAGGGGAGGGAGAATCAGCAGAAACGTATTTCTCTTTTTGTTCTTGAAGGGGGCGTGTCCTGGGCTCTTGAGTCGGTGCACCTGTATGCAGCTCTGATGTTAAGATTTTCTTGTCTTTACAAACAGCTTAAGTAGTGAGTGAGCCACAGCACACTGGAGGAAGGGCTCCCTCGGGCTGTGATGTGAAGAGAAGAAACACCAGGTAAGCCCAACAGCTGTGACTTGATTCCTTAGAACACGGATTCCTGTCATAGGTACTAGCTGTTCATCTGAGATTAGTTTTCCTCTCCATGGGGAAGACTCTGAGGTCAACATCTCATTTCCTGAAGAAGGTAAAATAAAGGAAAAGAAAGTAGGAAGAGCAAGGAGCAGAGACAACAGAGTTCAGTCTCTTGGTAACTATATAAATTGAGGTATTTGCTGAGACCCAAACTTCAGGTTTCCTGACTCAAAGCACAGCCTTCTCTCTATGGATTATAACACAGCACTCCCTAATCTTTGGATGTGCTCGGAGGTAAATCGACTGAAATAAAGAAGGCTCCATTAAGGATACTTGTTAAAAATAATAACTTGAAGGCTTCCACTAATTAGAACAATATTAGCCTTAGCACCCTTAAAAATATGTTTGAGAGAATTAAGTTTATTTTCACTTTAGGATGAATTTATTTAAGCTTTGCCTGAACTAGTATACATCTGGGAAGTATTTCCCTCCTTAACTTCCTCCCTGGACTCTGAAAAATCCCAAAATTGATCCTTATAACCACTTCCTCTGCTATTTTCCCCCAATAAATATGAAGCAGCACACCACTTTTTTTTTTTTTTTTGTCTGAAAGGCCTTGAAAATTCCTAATTTTTCTTGAAAAATCTATTTATGTAAACCTGACAGCCTATGTAATCTGCCCATGCCAGAGACTGAGTGATGGGAAGTTACTGAAGGAGGTATAGGAAGGTCAAAGGGGGAGAGGTGTGGAGAAATGACGCCTGTGGCTTTTCCTTACTGATACCCAGCTAAACCCGATAATAACACACACAGGCTGGAGATCACAGACAGAGAGAACAAAAAATGGAAGAAAAATATATTCAATGATTTGTCAAAATATCAACACAAGCTCTTTGTCTTGTTCTTTTTCCTGTAATAGAACCACTACTACTTATTTATGACCCTAACCAACATTCAAAACAGCTTTACAGTAACGGCCACATTATTGTACTTGTTTATTCGACCATGAGCAAGTCGTATAATGTTGGGCAGATCATTTTACTTTTTTTGCTTAATCAATTTGCAACAAGCATGGGGATTTGAAATGAGAGTATATTCATGCTGAGTCTTGGAAGCTGGACTTGCAAACACTCCTACTTTGTGCAAAACCACGAGTTGGTGTTAGTTGTTGCTGACACGCCCCCTAGGAATGAATGTCTTGCTTCTCTAAAAAGATGGTAAATTCTTTTAATGTTTTTAAAAAAAGGGTCAGGGTCTACATGACAGGGTTTATGTCTTGCTGTGCTGAGTGAAGGTAAGGGAAGCATCATACTTTTCACCCATATACCTTCTGATTGATAACTTTTATCAGTTTTAAAGGCCACTTTGTCATATAATAAAATTCTGACTTAAATATATTTTTTAAAATTCTACTGCTATCTGTGCCATTTCTCCTGCTAGTTACTAGCTTAATTGGTATCTTGGTCAAAACCATGTTTAAGAGAGGTATCATTCATTCCGCGATGAAATAAATGCAAATATCTCCCTAGAAAAAACAAATGGACACATTCATTAAAACTAGTGTGGCCCTGGCCGGTTTGGCTCAGCGGTTGGAGCGTCGGCCTGCGGTCCAGAGAGACCCCGGTTCGGTTCCCGCTAAGGGCATGTACCTCGGTTGCAGTTTGTCCCCGGCCCTGGTTGGTCGTGCAGGTGGCAGCCACTCGATGTGTCCCTTCAAGTCGATGTTTCTTTCTCTCTCTCTCTCTCTCTCTCTCTCTCTCTCTCTCTCTCTATCCCTCCCGCTCTATCTGAACAAAAAATGGAAAAATGTCCTCGGGTGAGGATAAAACAAAACAAAAAAAACTAGTGTGTAAGTGACTGATTTTAGCACTTTTGTTGTGAGCGAGTGTAAATGGGAAGACGTGAGAGGGTGCTGGGTATCCGAGGGCATTAGCAGTGGTTGGGTGCGTGTGACCAGGGTAAACGACTCAGAAAGTGGAGGAGTGACATCCCCTGGAGAACTGTCAGAGTTTCCAGCTTTACCTAAGGCCACTCCTTATAAAACCATGTTCCAACCAGTCTGAACATACATGTTTGCAATTTTCAACGGATCTCGCCTTGTTCTGTTTTAATTGTTTGGCAGGGAATACCCATAGCTACAGGGAAGGGGAAACCCTATTCCCAAACAGCCCACGGTTTTCTCTTAGATTGTGTTTGAGCAGCAAAGTGCTTATGGGCTGTCAAAGTCTTCACAGGATGTCGTCAAGATCTCCTGGACTGGATAGATACACAGTCGTAATGGCTGTGAAAATAATCGGGAAACCTGGAGGGACAGTGCAAAAGGTCTGTATCCTGGCTTGAAACATACTCTCACATGCACAGCTGGTTCGCGCCTCGCTGACTTCCATCACTGTGGGGCACAAAGCCAGTGCGGAGCTGAGGCCCGCTTACCACACCCCTCCCAGCAAGCCACGGATAATCTCATAAAGGCCCCTGTCCGGTGGCAGATGGAAAACTAGGCTCTGACATGCTAAGAATGAAGATCCATAAGAATTAATAAGTGTGAAAGTGCCTGACCTTTCATAGAATTATAGTACATTCCCTGTGCACAGTCGGTTGGATAAATAAAATACTAAGAGATAAGCAGCAGTAATGAGATATGTAGCCCTCAAACTGTGCAAAATGTTGTTAGATTTTGTTGATGAGGGTTATGAGGTCCTCATGGGCTCTGGGTCCTCAGTGCACTTGTCAGTTTTTAATCTCCAAAAGCCCAGAAACCTTAGAAACTCTTGTTTTTTGGTTGTTGTTTTGTTTCAGTTTAAATAAAGCCTTTTAAAATAAAGATTTAAATAAAATCTTTAAGATAATTTGCTTCTTCTCATAAGATAAAAATGTAAAAATCAGAGTTTCTTTATTGTTTAAGGATAAGTAGACATTTACTATAAATTTGTGGTTTCAGGACAACTTATAATGATGGAACAGATTCATACCTTCAAAGTTTGGGTAAAGAGACTTTGTATTAAGCAGATTATATTTTCCATGAAAACCTTTCACACTTTTGTTTGTAGTGTAGCCAAATTTTGCTTGAAGACTTCCCTATGTATTTTTCTTTTTTTAATCCTCACCAGAGGATGTTTTTTCATTGATTTTTTAGATAGAAAGGGGGGGGCGGGGGGAGAGAGAGAGAGATCAGTGAGAGAGAGACACATCAATTGGTTGCATCCTGCATGACCCTGACCAGGAAGGGGATTGAACCTGCAACCGAGGTACATGTCCTTGACCAGGAATCAAATCCGAGACATTACAGTTTGCAGGCTGACACTCTAACCACTGAGCCACACCAGGCAGGGCAAGACTCCTCTATGCTTAATCTCTTCGAGAATCAGACTAATTGTTTTTTCTTTTTTTTTTCTTATATTTAATCTTCTTTATTTTTATTTTTAGTTTTTTTTCTTAAACATTGATGTGAGAGGGACACATTGACTGGTTGCCTTCTGCACGACCCCGACCAGGGCTGGGATCAAACTGCACCCGAGGTACATTATCCTTGGCTGGAATCGAACCCATGACTCATTGGTCTGAGGGCCGATGCAGTCTACACTGAGCCAAACCGGCCAGGGCTATTTTTATTTTTTATTGTTGACAGTATTGCAAATGTCCCCCATTTCCTTCCTCTGACTCCTAATTTTTTTCTAATAAGAAACTTAATGATACCTCTCTTAGACATGTTTTTGACCAACATACCCATTAAACTAGTAACTAGCAAGAGAAATGGCATAGATAGCAGTAAAATTTTTAAGAAAATATATGTCAGAATTTTATTATATGACAAAGTGGCCTTTAAAATTGATAAAAGTTATCAGGATGATCATGATAAAGAATGATTTAGTCAAGAAACAGAGTTGGGAAAGCTGGTTATTCATTCGGAGGAAAATGAAAGTAAAACCTTATTTCAAACCAACACCTGAAATAACTCCAGAAGGACTGAAAATCTAAATGCATTAAAAAAATTAAAGAAGTGTTAAAAGAAAATATAGAATAATATTTTTACAATCTTTTTATGGAAAAAAAATATAAGTCCATATAGAAAAGCGGACCAGTATGATTTCATACATATTTTCAACTTTTGTGCAGAACAAACATAAAAACTTTGAAAAACCAAAGACCAATGATGAGTAAGTATTTATAACCTAAGTGACAAAGAGCTAATATTCATGCTATATGAAGAGCTCCTAAGAAGCAGTTCTTAAGGAAAAAAAAAAAAAGAACATTCTAATAGAAAAACTAAGAATGGCCCTGACCGGTTTGGCTCAGCAGTTGGAGCATTGGCCCACGGGCCGGAGGGTCCTGGGTTCGGTTCCCACTAAAGGCACGTGCCTCGGTTGCGGTTTGTCCCTGGCCCCGGTTGGGGTCGTGTGGGTGGCAACCAGTCAGTGTGCCTCTCTCACGACAATATTTCTCTCGCTCTCTTCCTCCCTCTCTCCCTCCTGCTCTATCTGAAGATAAGTGCAAAAATGTCCTCAGGTGAGGATAAAAAAAAAAAAAAAAAGTCAGGCATTTGTTTTGCTCTTATTTAAAGCATATCACCCAAGAAGAGTTTGTAACATCTTTAACCTGTGCTCACATATGAAGACTCCATGTAGCCTGTTCTGTTGGTACTTTCCAGTAGGCCTGATGAATTGTGTTTTTATCCCAAGACAGCTGAGTATCCTTAGGCACTAATAATACTCAAATTTGTTAGAAGAATAGCTTTGAAACATTTCTTCTTCTCCTCCTCCTCCTTCTAAATCTTCTCCTCCTCCTCGTCCTCTCCCATCCCCTCCTCCTCCTCCTTCTTCTTTTCTTCTTCTTTTTAGCAGCGAGCTTATTTGTAAGGAACTTAGATAGAAATAGAAACAATCATGACTTTATTAAAATCGTTCCCTGAGCAACAAAACAAATTGGCCCATAGTCTAAGAGAAATATTAGATTTGTTGGGGGAAGAAATTTAGGGAAATAGAATT